CCTCACACAGCCTCCCCTGAAGACCCCAGAGCATGTGAGCTCACCTCTCTCTCACCTGCTACAGCGCTCTGTGGCGACACTCATTTTCGAGCCCCGTCATGAAGAATGCCATGTAGTTAACTCTTCCACGTGTGTACCAGCTAAATAAACAGGAAGCTCACCCAGGTTTATATTCACCCTCAGGCTGGATAGGGAGAATGATTAAGTTACGGTAAAATAAAAGAGGAAGTCCCAGACAGAATTTAGAAAGCTTCTTTGTCTCTGGCTGTGACCAGCTACCAGCATCCAATGCCAACACCCCAGTCTGTCTCCGGTCCGCTGGATGGCCCCTGGTGGGCTGCTGTCACCCCCGTGAAGGCCTTGGGGAAAGACCTGAACCTTTGGTATAGGGTAACAGCTATTCTCTGCTCCCTCTCAAGATAAGAGAAACTCGGCATAAGGTGAAGCATGAGAGAGTTTTACTTGACCTCAAAGAGATACTTGTCCTCGGGTCAGTATTGGATGCTGGGTGAGGTTTCTGTAACAAGCTGCTATCCCTATAGGAAACCCCTCGACCAGTTGGTTGGTCAACAAAAGCAGTGGTTTCTGAGTTTGCTGTATGTTGGGATCCTCTGGAAAGCTTCAACAACCACTGGTGCCTGGGCCTCCCCACACTCCCCCACCCCCAGACTACGATTTCACTGATCTGGTGTGTTGTGATCTGGGCTCTGGAACTTTTTAAAGGTCCCAGAAGGCTTTAATGGGCAGAAAAGTTCTGAACCCACTGGCATGGAGGAGGCAGCAGAACCAATGAAATCTTGAATCTTGAGATTCTATTCAGCTCAAGGACAAAAGAATACACAATCGTCGTAACCTCTTACCAAGTGCTTTCTGTGGGCTAAAACATGGAGAGTCTCAATCTAGAAGAGACATTATAAGGAAGCCATTCTTTTAAACTATCTTTTTAAATTTATTTTGAGAGGTGGAAAGAGAGCAAGTGGGGGAGGGGCAGGGAGCGAGGGAGAGAAAGAGTCCCAAGAAGGCTCCTTGCTGTCAGCACAGAGCCCGATGCAGGGCTCGATCCCATGACCCACGAGATCATGACGTGAGCTGAGGTCAAGAGCCAGATACCTAACCAACTGAGCCTCCCAGGCGCCCGTATAAGGAAGCCATTCTTTTTTCCTTTATTTTTTGGGATTGAGAGAGAGACAGGGCGCAGGCAGGGGGAGGGGCAGAGAGAGAGGGGGGCACAGAATCAGAAACAGGCTCCAGGCTCTTGAGCCAATAAACCCAAGAGCCCGGCAGCATGAGCTCGAACTCCACGGACGGCAGATGTCGTGACCCTGACTAGCTGAAGTCGGACGCTCAACCGACTGTGCCACCCAGGCGCCCCAAGGAAGCCATTCTTATAATTACTCTCGTTTTCCAGGTGGGGAAAAGGAGACGTAGAGAGCTCAGTAACTTGCTCAAGAATACACAGATGACAACGGTGGTGTGGAGATCTGAACCCAAGCACTCCCACTCCAGAGCCCACATGTACCGCAGAAGATGTGGGGTCTCTGGAGATAGACGTGCCCTCTTCCTCCCCTCCCCGCTCTGCCCACCTGCCAGCAGCACTCTCCTTAAAGGGAAGGAGCAAGTCCGTTGAGGGCTCCAGCTTGCCCTGCTTGTCTCCCGGGTGCTGAAACCCAGGGCTGCCAAGAGGGTGAGGCCCAGGGCACTTATCAGCCACCTGATCACAGTCTCGGGCAGCAGTGGGAGGCAGGGTTCGAGAGGAGTTGCCACAGTGACAGGCAGGGGTAGCCCCCACAAATCTGCTCCCCATCTCAGCCTGCACCTCCCAGGTCTGGAGGCGGATATCGCCGGGCAGCGCAGAAGTGTGGCAGGGGTGTGGGGACAGAGAAAGGGAGGGAGGGAGAATTTCAGTCACCTCTGCTCAGGAAGGAGGGGACAGCTGTGGCCCTGGTGTAGGTATGGAGGCCTTTAGTCTCCTCCAGACAGGAGTTTCTGGACCCCTGGGCAGCAGAGGAAGGCAATGATGTGACAGAGATCAGGGAGAGCAGGGTCCTGGGACTGAATCAAAGCTCCTGGCCTGGGCTTCCCATTCCCTCAGACCACTATTCGCCACCAGCCCAGAGCCTTCATATTTTACAAGAAAGAACTAGCTACAAAGAAAGGAAGGCCTCGGTCAAGGTCACTGGGAAAATTGGTGATGCAAGAGCTTGGGTACCCTCCCTCCCAACCCAGAAAGAACCAGAGCCTATGAAGAATTCCCACAGCCTCTCTGTTCCTGCAGCCTGGGCGAAATGGATATGGGGGAGCCCCACCTCCAATCTCTAACAGGCCCTGCCTGCAGAGGTGAGAAAGCGGTGCCCCACACAGAGGCACACCCCTGGGAAAACTCTCTCCTAATTTCTGGGTTGTGGTGGGTGTTTGCAGCAAGAGTGAAGCCTTCAAGCTTCTCCTCAGGCCCCAAACCAGCCAGGACCCCCCTCCCCCCCGATATCCTTTTGACTAGAATCCCGGGGCCTACCTGGAAACTAAGGATCAGGCAGTGTCTCTCTTTCTCGTAAAACCCAACAGGTGCTCTGGGGCCGCAAGCCCTCACAAGGTCTCAGAGCAGCCCTGCACATTCTCATGGCCAAGGTCCAGAGATAATATTGTTCCAGACGTATCAAACCCTTCCATCCAACATGCTGGAAGCCATGACTATTTATACAGCCATTTATAAAGCTGGCACCTCTCTCTGGTCTCTAAGGCAAAGGGAGCAGCGGGACAGGTGTGGGCCCGAAGGAAAATAAGGCTATGGGTTGGATGGGGATTGAATTCCAAGAGAGACCTCGAGGCCCTGGCAGGGGACTGGGGTTGTCTGGCAGAGGGTACTTCCCTACGCCGGGCCAAAGAGGAAAACAGGATCGACTCAAGGTTACAGGGCTAGTAAGTGGTGCGCTGGGGACCAGAATCACAAATCCACGGGGGGTGGGGGCAGGGAATGGGAGACCTGTGGGAACCTCCCAGATCATGTCTCCCCTTGCCCATAGTGGGAGAG